CGCTTTTGAACGACACCTCCACCGCATGCAAAGAGCTTTTTAAATACTCAGTTTATGTATTTTGTTACTCTGCTACAATCGAAGACAGAGTGTGATACCCCGGCGCAACACAACAGAGCCAGCAGTAACGAGCACCGCTGTGGTTCCTTGTGGCATCCTTGAGTTGACGGCCACTTCTTTCGGTGTATGTTCGTGTTAGTTATTTGAATTAACTGTGTAAGAGTTTCAGCTTTCGTGGGCGGCTTGTTTCCCTAGAACCGTTCCCCTGGGTTCGAGTTATTGTAGGAGCATCCGCTATAGAGCTTGCTCTGAAGTTGACATTATGTGTAGTTCTATTGCCTGTAGGCTGGCTACTAGTTGCCAGCTAAGTGTTTCACAACTGATCACAGTGTTTAGGTGTGCACGAGAGCAAGCTTGCTCCTGCCTGCATGCAGCAACGCGTGCTGCAAGTCACGACAGGCCGCCTCCTCTCCGCCTGCCGCGGTGCCTGGGGCACTTGGATACTGGAGGGGATACCATGAGCTGCTCTGTGGAATTCTTATTTCAAGCCCTTGCACCTACTGCGGCTTACGACGGTCCTCCGCTAAGTAGAGGACCGTCACATCTGTGGTGTTGCAGTGAGGGGAGTAAGGGCGTGCAAGTATGCACAGGATTGCTGTATATTCTCCTACGCAGGATCTGTAGAAGGTGAACGCAAACGGTCAAGCCATGACCAACTAAAAGATGTAAAAGGCTGCAATGCATAAGTGTTTAATCTGTAACAGCTGCTCGCTTCGCTGTCTAATAACATAGAAACTTCAGCCTCAACTCCAAATAGCATGACATTAATAATAAGGTAACGCAAACGGACACTACCGCCTCAGTACCAGTTATAATTGTTTGTAGTAGGCGGCGTAGTGTGCCGGTTGCAAAAGCGGTAGCCCACGCTTACCGTTCATATACTTGTACACTGCTGGGTGCAGGAGGCCGCTTCCTTTCCAGTTGAAGCTACTCAGAGTTTCACCAGACGAAACTTTGCCCCGCGCTGCCCCAAAAGATTGTGATGCTTTGCTTGGTACAGTTGGAAGCAGAGAACAAACAAATGAACGGAGAGGACCCTCTTAGAACTTCAGAGACCCAGGCATTTCCTTGCGGTCAAGAAGAAGGCAAACCATTTCGTCATTCCCCAATATCTCCGTAATGGATTTATGTTGCAAATCAAAACCGCAAAATTAATATAAACTCATACGAGAATCTGTGCTGCTCGTTCTGCCCCCTGTACGGGCTCTGTTTAGGAATCATCCTGTACTCTCATACTAGAAACATACTTGGCAAATGGCTGTTTGCTTTCTTCCAGATACAACCCCTGGTGTGCCTCAGATGTCCATTTCCTCATGCAGCTATGAGAGCAGAAAGCAAGAGGTAAAGCGCCACCAGGGATGCCCGCAATCTCCAGCAGTGCTGGATTCACACCCCGTCCTGCATCTTCGTGAGGGCAGTTTTTTCAAACGTCGTCATGCGTTGTGTAAAGCTAAGCCTCAGGTTGTAGCATCGTTTCGGCTGCAATAGTACTTGTCATGCCTTTTTCAACGTAGGAGTAGCGCGGTTACTCTCTAACATTCTTTCATCTGTGGGACTTGGATTCTCGCTCATGGCACCCATGGTGTTCAAGCTTACTGCACACCCATAAATTGGAATTGCATCACTCTTGTGTCCGCATCTTGTCTCAGTCGAATATTCTGTATCAGCATCTCGTCTCTGTTAAAGATTGTTAACCAACATTTGGCTTCAGGTGAATGTTCCGCTTCAGCAATTTGCCTCCGTTGCATTTTCAAGACCAGAATTTCGGCTGTTGAATATTTTGTATCAGCATTTTGCCTGTTGAATGTTCTGTGTGAGCTTTCTGTCTTATATGGATGTTCCCTAGAAGTATTTTGTCTCAGTCAACTGTTCACGATTTTCGTTTTCTTTGGTGCAGGTTTTCAGTACACTCATTGCCCGCGAATCACAACCTAGCGAGCCGGTCGGAAGTAAAAAGCGTTTCGTGTTCTTGATTGGCTGATCCTCAGTTTCGGTCGAGCGAAAGCTCAATATCTCTCACCTACGCAGAATTAGATATTTGCCCTTTATATCAAGATTCCCCTACCCAAACTGCTTCTACTCAATCGCTAGCCTCTAGGTTTCACGATCCCCGCGCAGTTTGACTAAGCTTCGTTGCGGCAAATACCCCTCCACCACCTTTCACTCGACACCTAAAGGTCTGGATTAGAGGAAATAAATTGCTCATGCTTACGGCCAATCTTCAGAACTTGCCTTTTGTCCTCCTCGTACCCGAAACTACACAACAG